CAAAGGAAGTTCCTGAAGGCCTCATTCAGGGAACTTCCCGAAGTCGATAGCGCAGGTGATCCTCCGGAGACTAAAGTCTTCGGGATGTTCCCGTAAATTGTCTGAGCTAGGATGCTGTCTGAAGAGATGAACGGTCGTTCAAATTATTTCTTGTAATTTTTTGCCTTGTCATGGCCTCCACTGTGCTTGCAACATCCACTACAGACTCACAGACTAAATTTACACTTTCAAGGATGTTTTGGATGGAATGTTTTATTGGCAATAGTTATTTACAATTAATAAGTACATTAATACATTAATTAATCAATAATTAATCATTACATTAATTAATATTTACATTTAATTTATACAATCAGTGGTTTCACCAGTAAATCGGTTGGCAAGGTTGATGGTTCCGATGTCAAAAGTCTTTTGTGGATTCTTTCCCCTGCTAACGAAGTTGTCTGGGATAGTGATACCGAATTTTCGATAGCAAATCTGAAAGTAGAATTTTATTGTAGAAAGAAGTCTTGCCTAAGACACACAAGAACTTACCCCGTTGTAGTTGCACTTGTGGTATACGTTTACTTTGGGATCAATAGTGCTAATCTCGGTCTTATGACCAGAGAGTCGGAATTCACCATTTTGGTTTGTTACGCCTTCAGCCATTTTCACGTCAAATGCTAAAAAAAGATTGAATTTTTCAAAATTTAAGAGTTCTTCTCGACTTACTTGCTTCCTTTTCGTAAAGCTTGACTTTTACACCGGCAGCCGGCTGCCCATTGCAAATTAGCCTTCCTTGTACTGCTACAGATTGGGTCCTACCAAATCCCAGCAAAGCAAAGGAAGATCCGACAAGGCACAGAATTATAAGTAGTTGCATCTGAAAGAATTGGGATTTACAAAGTATGTGAGTGTAGGCTGTAGATTTGATGATTCGTATAGTGCCGATGCGGTGCTGGCAACACTTGCGCGGGAACGGGAACAATGGCCATAGGGCGTGAAATTTGAAATTGAGCGCACGCAATTATCATCAGCACCGGGACGCTGCGGGAGTCGTCATATGCGCTGGTGATAATTCTGAGAGGTTAAATTGAAAAGAAAGTG